CAACATGTGTCTTTATGGTTCGACATGGACGATCGTCGACCCTGTCTTCCTGTACAAGGATAAATTATTCATCTATACGGGTACTCGGTTTCATAGGAACAAAGATTCGGCCAATAAAATAATTTGCCGTCATCATAAAGCTTGTTTTGCCTGGTTTGCTTATAAAACAAGAAAAAAACATATTATAGTATAGAGCAAATCCATTTTGACGATTTATTGCGCGGCAGGCTCGTCCCAATGATATCTTGGGGATCGGGCCAGTGCACTTGCCGTTGCCGCCACAAACACCTCAATAATTTCAGTGGAATTCTACGGAGAGGCGAATCGTATCCACGCGGGCTCCTTGTACCATTCCTCAACGCACCGCCTCGAGCACACCTCGCATCCAACAAGAAGAATGCCCGAGTTTACCAAAGAAGCCGGTATTGCATTTGCCCTCACGTGGGCCGCGGCGGCCGCGACCTGTGTCGGCGGTCTCATCATCTTCAGCGCGTCCATGGTCAAGATGGCCAACGCCAAGAACCTCTCGATCGCGCTTGCGCTCGCCGGTGGTGTCATGCTCTTCATCTCGCTTGTCGAAATCTTTGGCAAGTCGGTCGAGCAGTTCAAGCTTGGCTCCGCCGATGAAGCTGGCGAGTGCGACACAACGTGCGAAGGCAACGCGTGGGTCTACACCGACATTTGCTTCGCCATTGGCGCTGCCATCATCTTCCTTCTCGATGCGATCGTGCACCGCCTCTCGCCCGACCTCAAGGACGAAGTTGACCTTGCGGAAATCTCGCGCCTCGAGCAGGTTGTTGACGGCCACGCTCGTCTTGTGACGCCGCGAGGTGACGACAAGGACACGCTTGCTGGCAAAGACAAGGCAGCCATGAACCGCACGGGTGTCCTCACGGCGATCGCACTTGCGCTCCACAACCTTCCGGAAGGCGTGGCCACGTACACGGCGGCGGTCCGCGACCTCAAGGTCGGTGCCACGCTGGCCATTGGTATTGCGCTGCACAACCTCCCGGAAGGCATTGCTGTCGCGACGCCCGTCTACTTTGCGACTGGCAGCCGCTGGAAGGCGTTCTTCTGGGCCTGCGGCTCGTCGCTCGCCGAGCCGCTCGGCGCGATCCTCGCCTTCTTTATCCTCGGTGACGGCCTCAACCCGAATGTCGAGGGTATCATGTTTGGCCTTGTCACGGGTATGATGGTGACGCTCTCGATCAAGGAGCTGATTCCGTCGGCCGTCAAGTTCTGCCCCGATGGCCACGCCGTCTCGATCGCGATCCTCGGCGGCATGGGACTCATGTCGTTGAGTCTCATCCTCTTTGCGTACGTCGGTGTCTAAGTAGCTTTCGAAGGTGTTTCGGTAGCTTCGTTTTAGTAGCAGCCTCAACACTTAAAAACTCTTAAAGATTATGTTTTGCGATTGCACCAACCTGAGCGACTCGAAAATGACGTGGTTATGAATGGAAACGACCACCGTGCACCAAGCAACGGACTCTACACGTCTTTGCACCAGTGTACTAGCAGCAGATTGGAGCGGAATATCTCAAGACTGCGAAATACCGAGTTTGCCCTAAATCGACTTCTTTAGTACGGACCCTGAGGTTAACAAAAATACAGGCGTACTCTCAGCATCATCGCGTGGCCAGTGTCCATCCCGATTCTCGCGACAAAAAATCTCCCACGAGATCGCCAGACACGCCATTCGAAATGTTCAGCTGAGCAATCGAAGTCGTGACCGGCAGATCTTTATCCGGATCCGGATCAAGTGATTCATGGAGTCGCTTTCTCACTCCAGCAAGACAAACCTTCGTCATGCGCGCAGCTTGTCGATAGTTAAGACTGTGTGAGCTTGTCGCTACGCAAAAGTTGACAACACGAGCGTCGAGTGGTTGTTGCCAATTCAAAACTAGACTACTACTTCGTCCGCCACAAATCTAACAAAATTGAGAGGAACAGCTCACTTTATACATGTATATAGACACTAGGTTGCTAGTAAATGTGATGCGCATATTGTGCACATACGATACAAGCAGAGACGGCAGCCGATGCGTCTTAGACACCGACGTACGCAAAGAGGATCAGACTCAACGACATGATGCCCATGCCGCCGAGGATCGCGATCGAGACCGCGTTGCCATCGGGGCAGAACTTGACGGCCGACGGGATGAGTTCCTTGATCGAGAGCGTCACCATCATACCAGCGACGAGACCAAACATAGCACCTTCGACTGTCGGGTTGAGGCCGTCGCCGAGGATGAAGAAGGCGAGGATCGCGCCAAGCGGCTCGGCGAGCGACGACGCACAGGCCCACCAGAAGGCTTTGCAGCGGTTGTTGGTGGCAAAGTAGACGGGCGTCGCGACAGCAATGCCTTCCGGGATGTTGTG